TAGCAATAGTTTGAAAGGGTGGGTGCAGTGGCTCATGCCTGTAATCCCAGCACTTTGGGAGGCAGAGGCAAGAGGACTACTTGAGCCCAGTAATTTGAGACCAGCCTGGCCAACATAGCAAGACCCCCCACCACGACAAGAAAAGTTTTTTAAAAAATTAGCTGGGTATAGTGGCACATGCCTATAAGTCCTAGCTACTCAAGAGGCTCAGGCAGGAGGCTTGCTTGAGCTCAGTTCAAGGTTACAGTGAACTACGATTATGCCATTCCACTCTAGCCTGGGCAACAGAGTGAAACCCTGTCTCAAATAAAATAGTTTGAAAGAGGTTAAAGACATTGTCCTGGGGGTAGGGAAAGCCATCTCAAACAAGCTGAGTCTTTAAAGGGATTTTGCATGTTCTAACATTTTGGCAGGGTCTAATCAGTCCAGCTGACAATTTGCTTGAGAGAGTAGCAACTTAAGTTCTTTGTAAAGAAGTGTTTGCAGTGGGGTGTACTGGGGGAAGGGAGCATATAATCCCCTTGGGTGCTTCTATACCAGGTCTGTGTTGCAGTTTACATGGCTCCAAACCTACCCTGGTTTTGGTTTCAACTGCAATTAGAGCTAGAGCCTCTAGGACTCTATTCGTCTTCTATTGTTGTGTTACAAATGACAAAAAAATACTGTCTTATGACAACACAAATTTACTATCTCTCGGTTTCTATGAGTCAAGACTCCAGACTGGGCTTAGCTGAGTCCTCTGCTCAGGGTCTCACAAGGCTCAATCACTGTTAGGGCTGAGATCTCCTCTGAGGTGCAGGGTTATCTTTTAAACTGAATGGTTGTTGGCAGAATTCAGTTTTTTGAGGCTATAGGGCTGAGGTTCCTGGTTTCCTTTTGTTCCCCCTCTGAGGCAGGGTCTCACTCTGTCACCCAGGCTGGAGTGGAGCAATCACGGCTCACTGCAGCCTCGACCTCGTGGGCTCAATCAATTCTCCCACCTCAGCCTTAACTGGGACTACAGGCGTGCGCCACCATGCCTGGCTACGTTTTATATCTTTAGTAGAGATGGGTCTTCCTGTGTTGCCCAGGCTGGTGTCAAACTCCTGAGCTCAAGTGATCCTTTGCCTCGGCCTCCCAAAGTGCTGGAATTATAGGTGTGAGCCACTGTGCCCTGCCCGAGGTCCTTGGTTTCTTGATGACTGTTAGCTAAGGGGTTCTCTCAGCTACTAGAGGCCACATGTCATGCCCTGCCATGTGGCCTTTGACAACATGGCAGTTGGTTACTTCACGGCCAACAGGACAGCATCTACTGCAGCTTTGACTGTCTCTGGCTTCTATTATCTGATCTCTAAACCCTCCTTTTTTTTTTTTTTTTTTACTTATGTTCAAGTTTGTGTTTTGTTTATTTTTTCAACTTTTATTTTAGGTTCGGGGGTACTTGGGCAGGTTTGTTACATGGGTAAATTGCATGTTACTGAGGTTTGGGGTATGGTTGATCCTATCACCCAGGAAGTGAGCATAGTACCCTATAGGTAGTTTTTCAACTCTGCTCCCTCCCACCCTCTCCCCTCTAGTAGTCCCCAGTGTCCAGTATCTGTCATTCCCGTCTTTATGTCCATGCACACGCAATGTTTAGCTCCCACGTGTAAGTGAGAGCATGTGGTATTTGTAAACCCTCCGTTTTAGAGGCCCACCTGATGAGGTTAGGTCCCCCCACGCTGAAGGAGAGGGGATTTACAGGACATGCATACCAGGGGGTGGGAATCTTGTAGGTCATCTTAGAATTCTGTTTACCACAGACTCCGTGAAATACATTTCATCCTATTACATTGTTTAAAGAAAACCAACAACATGAGGCCAGCTGCTTCCCATTAGCATTATCCATTCTGGGAGGGCAACAGAGCTGTCAGGAAAAGTCTTCTGAATCCCTGAAGCTGAATCAGGCTGTGGTTTAAAAAATTCAACAACCTTGGAAGAAGGGCCTTTTTCCCTTTTTTCCCCCTCTTTTTCCCCCAGAGCCCTCGTTCAATCCTCCAATGAGTCAGTTTGAGAAGGAAAAGGCAGCTCTGGGCCCTAAGCATCTGGGGTCGGCCTAGAGAAGCAAACAAAGCACTTTAATAATGACTTGATAATGAGACTCCATACCTCTGCTCTGCCAGGTTTCCTGATAACCATTATTACATGACTATGTTTGGTCCTTGGAAGTGGTTCTGAAAGCCTGTCATAATTTACTGGATAAAAACATATAGTTCCTCTTCCCTTATTCAGTTTGCCAGCTTTTTCAAGGGACTTCATGCAGAAGGGTCTTTTACTGAGAGTGTGTCTCAGTGTGTCCCTGTATGTTTAAAAAAGACCACTTTTCCCACTGACTTCTGTTTGCCACTGCAAGACCCTCTCCACCCCCTGCATTTATCCATCCATAAACATATACAGTGAGCACCTCCTGCGTACCTGGTATTGCGCTAGGTGCTGGTAATACTCAGATAATCAAAACAAGGTCCCTGTTCTCAAGGTGATATCAGCTATGACAAGAAGTATGTGCAAAGGGCTGAGAGCATGGGGCATGGGTGGCCAGTACGTTTGAGTTGCGTCTTGAAGCATATGTGTAATTTCAAGGATGTAGGAATTACAGGGATGACGTTCCAAGCCAAGTGCACAACCTGTGCGGAACACAGAGAAAACAAAAGAACATGGTGATTCTGGGAGGTCAGAGCATGGGGGTGTGAGTCAGGGTGGGCTGCTGGGAGACTGGACCCCCTCCAGCGGGCAGAGAACACCAGATTGCAGAGGGCCTTGAGTGTTAAGAACTTGGCTTTTATCTTGCAGGCAGCAGGAAGCTGCTGGACAAGTTTAAGCAGGGGAGGCTCATGGTTGTATTTCAGAGAGAACACTGTGCCTTTTTTGAGATTGTGAGGTGACTGTAGCTTTTTCTAAATATCATAAATAAAAGTATAGCTCAGAGAAGGCAGCCCCAAGGTCACCACCAATGAATCATGGTATGATTAAGGAACAAATTTATTTTAAATTGATATTAGCCATAATGAGGCACATGAAAGAAATATACAGTGATGCCTCTAAAAGGAGATACTTGGGAAGGAAAGCTTTGTTTAATAAGATCAGCTTGTGGGGGCAAAAGGACAGAAAAGGTGGTGGCTGGAAAGCAGGAAGAGGCAGCGTTTCTTTTACTGAAACCTCTTTCTCCGTGAGGGTCCAGACCTAGCCCAGCTGAATGGGGCTCCACATTCAGGGTTCACCTGGCTAGGATATCTAGGAATGGGCTCTGTGTATCAAGGGAAAGAGGGGTCCAAGAGTGCTTGGTTCTGTACAGGTGAATAATCCAGGGCTGGGAGGGAAGACAGGTCTTGCTAAACTGGAAAACAAGGGGGTTCTTCTTCTAAGACAAGTCTTCCTCTGCCCCCTATAGCATGCCTCTGTGTCTGAAGAAATTTCGGACCGCAAAGGTGGTTCTTTTATAGGAACCACTTTTATTTTAATAATATATTTTACTTAACCCAATATAGCCACCATATTATGATTACTTCAACATATAATCACTATAAAAATGATATCAATGGTATATTTTACATTCTTTTTGTTCACAGTAAGCTGCCACATCAGCTGCATCAGTCTCCTGCTCCAAAGCCCCGAGTGACTTGCCATCAAGCTCAGAGTAAAATCCACAAAGGTGGATTTTATTGAATTTTTCAATAAAAAATTGAAGAATTTTTTTCTTTTATTGAATTTATGCATTAATTCAACAAACGTTTATTGAGTGCCTGCTATTCCCCTAACACACCACATCTGATTCAACAGTGAATCCTTTGCCTCTTTCATTGTAGGTACCATTCTGGGTCCTGGGAGATTCAATGATGACCAAAATAGACAAGGACCCTGACCTTATGGAATTTACATTCAAGTTGAGAAGATAGACAAGAAACTAGTAATTAACATAGAATATAATTTTAGGCAGCAGTGAGGGTTATGAAGATGTTAATAAAGAATAATTGGCCTGGCGCAGTGGCTCACGCCGGTAATCCTAGCACTTTGGGAGGCCAAGGTGGGCGGATCACCTGAGGTCGGGTGTTTGAGACCAGCCTGACCAACATGAAGAAGCCCCATCTCTACTAAAAATACACAATTAGCCGAGCATGGTGGCTGATGCCTGTAATCCCAGTTACTCAGGAGGCTGCGGGAGAGTCACTGGAACCCGGGAGGTGGAGGTTTCAGTGAGCCAAGATCACGCCATTGCACTCCAGCCTGGGCACAAAGAGGGAAGCTCTGTCTCAAAAAGTAAATAAAAAATAAATTAAAAAAAAATAATGGGATGGAGAGAGAGTGGGAACATTTTAACTAGGATGATCATGGACGTGCTCTCTGGGGGGAAGTAACATTGGATGCTTGAATGCTGCATAAAAGCCAACCATGCAACTATCTGGGGAAAGAGTCCTCCAAGCAGAGAAAGCAGCAAATGCAAAGATCCTGAGATTGAAAGGGGGCATTACCAGGAGGGCCAGTGAGGCTAGGTGAAGGGATGAAGTAGGGGGGTAGCGGGTTTGGTGATCAGTGGAGCATGGGGGTGGGCTTGCATCACATAAGGCCCATGGTAAGGGGCTGGGATTTTACTCTGCGCTTAATGGCAAGCCACTGGGGGGTTTGGAGCAGGAGGCTGATGCAGCTGATGTGGCAGCTTACTGTGAACAAAAAGAATGTAAAATATACCATTAATATTATTTTTATAGTGACTATATGTTGAAATAATCACAATATGGTGGTTATATTGGGTTAAATAAAATATGTTATTAAAAGCAGTCTCACTTGTTTCTTTTTTCTTGTTAAAAATGTAGCTACTAGAAAATTCAAAATACGTGGCTTGCAATTCTGCTCACGTTAACATTTCTATTTAATGGTGAGGGTCTAGGAAGTGACTGTAGTCAAAGAAGAGAGCCAAGGACAGAGCCCTGCAGTGCTACATTTCAAAATCAGGGAGAGGAGAGAGATCCAGCAAGGGCGACCCAGAAGGAACAGCCAATAAGGTAGGAGGAAAATTAAGGGAGTGTGGTGTTCCAGAAGACAAGTGATAAAATTATTCAAAAAGAAGGGCGTGGCCAATCACATCAGATGCTGCTGAAAGTTAAAGAAACCGGTGGATTCAGCAAGCGCAGTGTTGGTGGACTGGCTTGGAAACAGTTCAGTTTGGAAGCCTGATTGGAGAGCTCATGAGAATAGAAAGTGAGGACATAAAGGCAGTAAGTATAGATAACTCTTTAAAGAGTTTTACTTTAAAGAGATGCAGAGGAATGGGATGGTAACAGCAAGAGAACTTGAACTCAAGGGGAGATTTGTGTTTTGCTGTCGTTGCTGGGTTGTTTAGGAGGGGAGACAGTTTCATATGTCCAGTTGGATTGGCTGATGGTGGCGTTGTCAACAGAGTGCCTGCTAAAAGCCTCAGGGTTTTTAAGATTTGGTTGGGGAAGTAAGGCAAGTATGCTACAAAGAATTTCAGACAGGACAGTCTAAGCTCAAGGGTTAAATGCGATGATTCTATTAGTGCTCTAAAAGTTCAGATGCAGCCAAGATGCCCTCTTTCTTTGTTCTCCCTCAACTTTCATATTTTTCTCTTTAGTGTTTTTTTTCCCTTTCTATCTTCTACACTTGACAGTGGTAGGTCAATGACAATGTTAGCCTACCATGGCTTCACATTTTGGTTAACGGGCTTTTTTTCCCACAGGCTTCTCTAAGATAGTTTATTTCCCCAATGTCTAAAAAGGCTTCTATAGCGGCAGGGGTGGGGGTACTGCTGTGTTTATTAAGATGGCCAGGAACTTACCAGTGACACAAATTCCTCCTGTTCTCCCTCTGAATTTCCTAAGAGCTTTTGAATTATTATTATTATTATTTTTCGAGACAGGTTCTCACCCTGTCACCCTGGCTGGAGTGCAGTGGCGTGATCATGGCTCACTGTAGCCTCGACTTCCCAGGCTCAAGTGATCCTCCCACCTCAGCTTCCTGAGTAGCTGGGACACAGGCATGCACCACCACGTTTGGCTAATTTGTTTTGTATTTTTTCTAGAGATGTGGTTTTGCCATGTTTCCCGGGCTGGTCTCAAAGCCCTGGGCTCAAGCAATCCACCCACCTTGGCCTTCCAAAGTGTTGGGATTGCAGGTGTGAGCCACTGTGTCCAGTCAGATGTTGAATTTTCATTCCTCTTTGCTCCTGCCAGATCTCCAGATCTTGGAAAACTAGCAGAGACAGTAATGCCAAGGGTAAAGTCATTCTTTCTAGGACAATGCATTGGTGTGTAAATCCATTGATGTGAGCTCTCTTGAAGGTCTGTATATGATAAGAAAGGCGCTGTGGTTATGGAGTAGACGGGGTGTGTGTGTGCATGTGTCCCCGTGTGTGTGTGTTGAGGGGGGTAATTATTGATCACTGTGAGGGCCTGGGACTCAGTCATCTTTAGGCAGAATTGTAATATTAACTCATAAAAGTTGAGTGACTTAAAGTATCAATACCTTTCAGCCAGGAATGTACCTGTCATTGAACAAATTGGATTTATTACTTGTGGCAGTGAGGGGGAATTGTGGGGAACCATAGGGCATCTCGGTAAGTGGGTCTGAAGCAATCTTGACACCACAGCCCTGTCAGTTCTCATGGTGACTTGGAACCTTTTGTTCTCTAAGGCTTCAGTCACTCTGGCTATGTGAACTCTCAAGTTCTCCTTAGCCTTACAGCCTGTGGCCACCACTCCCGCCCTCCCACCCCCCAACTCTGGAGATGCATCAGGGATTTACAGCTAGAAAGCAGGACAGGGTGGGCCTGAAGCCCACCCATGAAAGAGCAATGGCAGCATAGCTGTCTGGGAACAGAGCAGATCTGGAGTGGCAAGGGAATTCTAGAATCTACTTAACCCCACTTTACAATAGTTCATTCAGTTACAGCAATACCTGTAAGGAGAGTTATCATAGGGGCAAAGTCTCTGCTTGCCTTTCTACGGCCTTCTGGCGCGGATGAATATAGCACCCTTTCTCTGGATTGTGGTGCTCATCAGATCCCCCACCCCTCACACACACATACAAACTTTCTTTCTTTTTTTTGTTTTTTAGTTTTACAATTTTTAAATTATACTTTATGTTCTAGGGTACGTGTGCACAACGTGGTTTGTTACATATGTATACATGTGTCATGTTGGTGTGCTGCATCCATTAACTCGTCATTTACATTAGGTATATCTCCTAATGCTATCCCTCGCTCTTGTCCCCACTCCACAACAGGCCCCGGTGTGTGATGTTCCCCTTCCTGTGTCCAAGTGATCTCATTGTTCAATTGCCACCTATGAGTGAGAACATGCGGTGTTTGGTTTTCTGTTCTTGCGATAGTTTGCTGAGAATGATGGTTTCCAGCTGCATCCATATCCCTACAAAGGGCACGAACTCATCTTTTTTTATGGCTGCATAGTATTTCATGGTGTATATGTGCCACATTTTCTTAATCCAGTCTGTCATTGATGGACATTTGGGTTGGTTCCAAGTCTTTGCTATTGTGAATAGTGCCGCAATAAAAATGTGTGCATGTGCCTTTATAGTAGCATGATTTATAATCCTTTGGATATATACCCAGTAATGGGATGGCTGGGTCAAATGGTATTTCTAGTTCTAGATCCTTGAGGAATCGCCACACTGTTTTCCATAATGGTTGACCTAGTTTACAGTCCCACCAACAGTGTAAAAGTGTTCCTATTTCTCCACATCTTCTCCAGTACCTGTTGTTTCCTGACTTTTTAATGATTGCCATTCTAACCAGTGTGAGATGGTATCTGGTATCTCATTGTGGTTTTGATTTGCATTTCTCTGATGGCTAGTGATGCTGAGCATTTTTTCATATGTCTGTTGGCTGCATAAAAGTCTTTTTTAGGACAGGCACAGTGGCTCATGCTTGTAATCCCAGCACTCTGGGACGCCAAGGCAGGGGAATCACTTGAGTTCAAGACTAGCCTGGGCACATAGTGAGACCCTGTTTCTCCATAAAATAAAATAAAATAAAATAAAATAAAATAAAATAAAATAAAATAAAATAAGCTGGGCATGGAGGAGCACGCCTGTAGTCCCAGCTACTATGATGGCTGAGGTGGGAGGACCTCTTCAGCCAAGGAGGTTGAGGATGCAGTGAGCTATGATTGCACCACTGCACTGCAGCCTGGGCAACAGAGCAAGGCCCTGTCTCTAAAACTATTGTCAACATTGATTTCTAAAAGTTTGATTATCAACTGGCATGCTTCCTTAGAAGCATGACATAGAGTCATGGGAGAATTATCCTTTTCATGATCCCTTTGGTTGTTTCCCGTTTTTAACTATTTGAAACAATGCTGTAACACAAATTCTTGTATGTATATTGTTGTGTGCAAGTGTGACTATCTATAAGGTAATGTTCGAGAAGTGATGTTCCTGGATCAAAAGGTATGTGCATTTTAAATTTTGATAGATATTGCCAAATTGCTCTTTAGAGAGTTAGAACTATTTACTCCAGAGTGTATGGGAGTCCCTATTTTTTCCCACCTTCGTCAGCAATGCAATATCATCCAAATTAAGGATTTTGACAATCTGATAGATGACAATACTCATTTGATATGTTGATTTCTATCTCTTTCATTATTAGTAGGACGGAGCCTCTTCATATGTGGTTATTTGTATTTCTTTTTCTGCTAACTGCTTTGTATTCTTTGTCCCTTTTAGACCAAGTTGTTTGTCTTTTATTGATTTATATAAGTTCTTTATAAATTAAGAAATTTGGCCCCTGTATCTGTCATATTTGTTGCTAGTATTGTTTTCCAGTTTGTCATTCTTTTATTGACTTATTTTTTTTCCATAAGTTTTACTTTTCTTTTTGAGGCAGGATCTTGCTCTGTCACTCAGGCTGGAGTGCAGTGGCATGATCATGGCTGACTATAGCCTCAATCTCCTGGGTTCAAGTCATCCTCCCACCTCAGCTTCTGCAGTAGCTGGGACTACAGGTAAATGCCACAATGCCCAGCTATTTAAAAAAAAAATGTTTGTACAGATGAGGTCTTGCTATGTTGCCCAGCCTCAACTCAAACTCCTGAGCTCAAGTGATCCTCCTGCCTTTGCCTCCCAAAGTGCTGGGATTACAGGAAAGAGCCACTGTACCCGGCCTGAAATTTTCATGTAGCCGGGTGTTTCAGTCTTTTGTTTGTGGCTCTGCGTATTTATCAAAACAATTTTGTCTCCCTGGGCACACCATGAATAGTAATAGGCATCCAAAGTTAATGGGCCCCAACTCACAAAACAATAGATCAGGTTTTTGCATTTGTCTTTTTTTGGTAACAGCTTTATTGAGCTATAATTCACATACCATACAAGTCACCTATTTAAAGTATACAATTCAATGCTTCTTAATACAGTCACAGATTTTCGCAACCATCACCACAATCAATTTTAGAACATTTTCGTCATCTCCAAAAGAAACCCTATCCGGGCACAGTGGCTCATGCCTGTAATCCCAGGACTTTGGGATGGCAAGGCAGGAGAATTGCTTGAGCTCGGGAGTTCTAGTTCAACATAGCAAGACCCTGTCCGTACTAAAACTTCAAAAATTAGTTGGGTGTGGTGGCATGTGCCTATAGTCCCAACTACTTGGGGGACTGAGGTGGCAGTTTTGCCTGAGCCTGGGAGGTCAAGGCTGCAGTAAACTGTGATCGCACCACTGCACTCCAGCCTGAGTAACAGAGCAAGATACTGTCAAAAAAAAAAAAAAAAAAAAAAAAAAAAAAGAAAAGGAAAGAAAAGAAAAAGAAAAAAAAAAGAAATCTTGTACTCTTTACCAACCCCCCCGGCCCCCCCCACCAAAAAAAAAAACCCTCCCAGCCCTAAGCAAGACATTCTCTGTGTCTATGTATTTGCTTATTCTGGACATTTTATGTAAATGGAATCATTCAGAATCATTGTCTTTTTTAAAGGAAGGATAACTCTCTGTAATGGCAATTCCATTTGTATATGTTTTCTAGGCTATTTTAAGAATATAACTGAAGGATAAGGGGTAGGGTGAAAGGATTGCATTACGCCCTGACTATCAAATGATGATCTTTTGCTTTTTATTTTATTTTAGTCATCCTACAATGGCTGAATCACTAAGTGAAATTTGTGACACTCTGGATGTTCTGGAGGCCAGTGATGAGGGTAAGTAACCCAATAAAACTTTGATAACCAGAATTAGATTTGTTCACTGTGTTTATTTAGCTCCTAGGACAAAGAAGCAAGGCACAAGAAAACAAGCTCAGATCATTAGACTAAGTCACGACGTTTACTTTTCAGTTTTCTAATTTCTTCTTTGTCACCTCCAACTCTGATGGTCAAAGATTTGCCTGAGGTCCTGCAATCTTCTTTGAAAATGGTTACCAGATTTTACTTACTAAGGCTTTTTCTGCTTCATCAGAAAAAAAGCAATCAGAACAGACCATGATCTGACAAATTCAACTGAGGTTTTACTGTAGATAGTAATTCAGATCTAAGCAAGAGATTAATTTGTTGAGGAGTAAAAGGAGGTAGAAACAAAAGATGCCTCCACAGGCTTCTGTTAAATAGGATTCAATTGAAAAAAATTCTCTTTGGCAAAACTTACTTGTGTATCCCTTGCCTAAATTGTGGCGCAATCTGTGAGTGATAGGTGATCATGCATGGAACAATTAGAAAGGGAGGCAAATGTCACTAAACAATGATAAGCTTTACACACACATACACACACACACAATAAAAAAGAAATCATAAGATGTAATGTGAGACATTGAGTGTAAAGACAGAATTGAATTTAACAGTTTATTGGGTTGTTCTTCCATTCTTTTGCCAAGTTTTCTTTAGTGGTGTATGGTACAGAAAACTTTGTCTGGAAGAACAGAGGGGAATCTCCTTGTGGCTTCCTGGGGGCCTCGCTTCACACATGATGTGGGGCAGGGGATGCTGAGAGCCTGATCATGGATTCTTAATGGCAGTGCTAGGGTCTTCTTCATCTCTGTGTTATCATTGTTTAGTATTGTGTCAGAGAGAGACAGAGAGAGAGAGAGAGAGAGAGAGAGAAAGAGAGAGAGAGAGATTAGGTGCTCCAAAGTATTAAATAAATGAATGAATGCATAAATGAGTGAAAGGCCTTCTCACCAAAGCAGACCCAACTACCAAACCAACTGACCTATCTTTTTGGATATGAACTAAACAGATGCCTACAAAAGAAGATGGCAGCACAGTACATCTTGATGAAAAGTGGTAGTAAGGAAATGCCTTTTCTCTGTTCTCAAGTTTTTTTTTTGTTTTTTTGTTTTTTTGTTTTTTTTTTTTTTGTAAGACTAAGCATTTGAGTACGATTTTAGAAGTTTTAGAACTAGTCAGGGCTGGCCAGAGAATAAGGTGGCTGTTGGGAGGTTAAAGGGAGGAAAGCTTAGTTAGAAATGTTTTCTTTCCAGCTAGGTGCGGTGGCTCACGCCTGTAGTATCAGCACTTTGGGAGGCCGAGGTGGGTGGATCACTTGAGGTCAGGAGTTCAAGACCAGCCTGGCCAACATGGAGAAACCCTGTCTCTACTAAAAATATTTTTTAAAATTAGCTGGGTGTGGTTGCAGGACTCTGTAGTTCCAGCTACTTGGGAGGCTGGTTCCAGCTACTTGGGAGGCTGAGGCAAAAGAATCACTTGAACCTGGGAGGTGGAGGTCACGCCACTGTACTCCAGCCTGGGCGACAGAACAAGACTCCATCTAAAAAAAAAAAAAAAAAAAAAATTGCTGGGCGTGGTGGCTCATGCCTGTAATCCCAGCACTTGGGGAGGACGAGGTGGGCAGATCATGAGGTCAGGAGATTGAGACCATCCTGTCTAACACGGTGAAACCCCGTCTCTACTAAAAATACAAAAAATTAGCCGGACATGGTGGCAGGCACCTGTAGTCCCAGCTTCTTGGGAAGCTGAGACAGGAGAATCGCGTGAACCCGGGAGGCAGAGGTTGCAGTGAGCCGAGACTGCGCCACCGCACTCCAGCCCAAATGACAGTGCGAGACTCCGTCTCAAAAAATAAAATAAAATAAAATAAGTTTTATTTCCAAGCAGCAATGCAAGAGAACAAGGTCATCATTATGCGATGCATTTTAAAAGCTCATTCAGTTCAATTCAGATGGGTTCCCTGTATGCATGGTAGATAAGCAAACATACAACTTAGAGGCAACCATTTCTCATTCGATTTAGCTGTGTTTTCTTCTCTGGAGAAAAAACAGTCTTCAATGGGCTGTTTTCTGGCATGTGACACACTGCAGACCCTGACTGGATGAGTATATTGAAAGCTACTTGCTGTTTGGGAATGCACAGTCTTTGGGCTTGGACAGGGAAATCAATGGCTTTGTTATAGAAGTCCAGACAGCTGTCACCTCTCAGCTGTCAGCTCACTGACTGCAACTGCTGTACCCTGTGATGACATAAGTTACCCAGTGTATAGGTGACCTATATAAACATTGCTGGGTACAAATGTGAGTTTTTACCCATACCTTCTGTCTAGATCTCTCTACCCTTTGTGCTTTTCGTAGATTTTGAAAAACAGCCTGTGGAGGGCTCAGCTGCTGGTGATTTAAAGGTGCCCCCACCACACTTTAAAAAATAAAGCTTCAAAGGCCAAATTTATAGACTTGAATATATGGCAACAATCTCAGATTCCATTAGAGTTTCAAAAGCAGCATAGCACGTAGACAGTATCCAGCTTTGTATCTCACTCCCAGGGCTGAGACCAGGGCTTGTCTCCATACATGGGATAGCGGGGGTGGAGGGTGTTGGATACAGTTAGGGGTAGGGCGGTTTCCTAATGGAAAGTAGGCTGAAGACATAGACCCTTGCTGCTGACATTGTGTGTCTGGCAGTAGGTTGTCACAAAGGCCGTATCCAGCTTTCAAGTCACTGACCTAGAGCAACAGCAGCCAACTTACCATGTTTGGCAGTTACCATCTCTCTGTGTCTCCCCAGCTCCCTGCTAACAAAGCTATACCACCACTACACTCAGAGCCACACTACAGGATGGAATGGAAACATTCTTTTCCTTCTGGGGTCCATAGTTAAAAGAGACACCCATTGCTTTAGCTGTTGTTGAATCCTTGCTGGAAAATAAGTTGTTGTTTCTGCCCAGAAAAGAATGGAAAATTGGGGGGAAATTGGACTATATGCATACTTAACTTTTAGCACTTGTTACAGTTCCAAAGTCACTAGTCATTTTGTTAATTTAGGAACATAAAAATGTGTTAATGTATAATTTTGTCCGCTCATACAATGATTATGTTTGTTGAATTCATTATTACAGCCTAAATAGTTTATTAGACATGTTTTTATCCAGTTATTCAGTGTTTATAGATTGTGTCGCAAATGGAGCTACTAGCTGCTGACTCTCTTCTCCCTGTTTTTGCTGGATTATTAGAAGCAGGTTTGCAACTCAAATTCCCTAGCTTTGCTTTCCTCTCTTCCACTGTGGGATTTTGAAGCAAGAGGGGCAACAATTGCTGTGTTTCTAAATCTTCTGAGCATAAAGTTGTTCCCCTTTCAGAAGGCCAGAATGAGATCCACCTGTCAAGAATCAATAAATCGTCTGGGCACAGTAGCTCATACCTGTAATCCAGGCACCTTGGGAGGCAGAGGTGGAAGGATCTCACTTTGTTGCCCAGAAGAGAGTACAGTGGCATTGTCATAGCTCACTGCGGTTTCAACCTCCTGGGCTCGAGCAATCCCCCTGTTTCAGCCTCCTGAGTAGCTGGGCATACAGGCACTAACCACCACCCCCAGATAATTTTTTAAATTTTCAATAGAGATGAGGTCTGGCTATGTTGATCAGACTGGTCTTGAACTCCTGAGCTCAAGCAATCCTCCTGCCTTGGCTTCCCAAAGTATGGGATTACAGGCGTGAGCCACCGTGCCCAGCCTTAAATATTTTATTATTGTAGAAATTAATTTTTTCTGAAAACATTTTTAAAAGGGATCTTGGAGAAAATATACATTTCCTGTTTCATTTTCATTTTTTATTCTTTCTCTCTTTAGGTAGAATTGCGAAGTTTTCCCAACCATGCCCCTATATAGGCACATTCTAGTAGATGAGAAATTGCCGAAGTCATCCAAAACAGAAATTACTTAAGCAGCAATTATCAAGCAAATAGTCCTATAATCTTTCGTTGCTCTATTCCATGCTGGCTTCTGCCTCCAATTTTGCATATTGTACAGTTCACTATTCAGTTATAGATACGGGTCTGCTTCTAATGAACGCAGAATTGAATCCAGCCTTGATAAACAAGTATTTACTGAGTCCCTAACACTAGCTCACATTTATTGAGCACTTACTACATGCCAGATCATATGCTAAGCTCTTTACCTATGTCATTTATAATTTGTATCAACTCCTATAAGGGCCAGTGTTTAAATTAATAGTATGCTGAAAGATGACTCTGTTCAGTGGTCTCAAGTCAAGGGAAGTAACAAGCTGTGTTGGTATTCTGCGCCCCCACGTGGACACAGCTGTTACTGCATGCCTTGCACTGTGCTGGATGCTAAGGAGGGCTTGCTTGCAGCCTTGATGTGGGGGTAGTAGCCAAGACATAGGGAACTATAACTTATTTCTTTCTCACGGATACCCAGAACATGATAAGTACTTGACCTTAATAAATATTTGTTGAATAGATGAATGAACGAATGAATGAGTAAGCTAAGAACATTCAGATGCAAAACTTGTGATGCTAACAGCCAAGTTTTAGGTGTTCAGAGGACAGAGAGAAGCATGAGTTTCACTGATTGGTGGGAAACTGGATTTAAGGCAGGCCTTGAAGTTTAGGAACCTTTACCCTGGCAGGCTCAGGAGCAATCGGTGCACAAATAGGTCATAGCGTTTCAGAGCTAAAGGAACTCTAGTTCAGCATTTCTCAAAGTGTGTTTTGCCAGACATTCTGCTTACACACATTGGGAGATAATATTGTTGCCTGGTTTCTTGGAACTTCACCATATACATAACCATTTTGAAGTTTCAGAAAAGTTTTGTTGAAAAGAAGACTACTGAACTTTGTCTAATCCAGAATTTTCCAGATTGACTGGACTACAGATCCCTGTCTCATGCAACAAACCTTATGAGCATCCCTCTGAACACACTTTGGGAGATGCTGATCAGATGCAATCCTTTAATTTTCCTGCTGAGTCCCAGAGAGGTTGAGTGACCTACTCAAGGTCACAAAGCTAATTGATAGTGAATTTAAGCCTAGGATTCCAGAATTTTCTGACACTTGGATGGTGCTTTCCATTACACCATTAAGCCTTTCATGATGGCTACTGCATTGGCAACTCCCTTGTCTGGACCCTTCATTGCCAGCACAGAATTGCTGTGCTGATGAGACCTTCTGGAGACCAGACAGTTGGGACTTGGAATGAGACAACTTAGTTGGCACTTTTTGCATGTGAAATCAATAAGAGCTAATTCCTTCCCTCTGAAGAATGCAGCACGAGCCCTCTCCCCCTTCTCCCCTTTAGTTTCTTAATAAGCACAATAAAAACATGTGCTTATTAAGAAACCAAAAAGGCCCAGCGTGGTGGCTCATGCCTGTAATCATAGCACTTTGGGAGGCCAAGGCGGGTGGATCACTTGAACCCAAGAGTTCAAGTTCGAGACTAGCCTGGGCAACATGGTGAAGTGTCATCTCTACAAAAAATACAAAAATTAGCCAGGTGTGGTGGTGCATGCCTATAGCGCCAGCTACTGGGGACGCTGAGGTGCGAGGATCGCTTGAGCCCAGGAGGTGGAAGTTGCAGTGGGCCGTGATCACGCCATCACACTCCAGCCTGGGTGATAGAGTAAGGCTCTGTCTCAAAATAAATAAATAAATAAATAAAGCCCAAACAGAGAACCTTAAGAGCATTTAAAGCTCACATTCCTCACTGCTGCCCTGGTAATTATTATAGATAGAGCAAACTCTCATTTATCTGCATGTGCAAAGGGCAGCAGCCCTGTAGATAATCCAAACCAATTGGCAAGAGCTGAAGAACACACACAATGATCATCTCTCTCTCTCTCTCACACACACACACACACACACACACACACACACACACACACTCCTTGAAAAACTCTTTGGTATCTGATTTTGACATGCCTTTTACACAGGCAGCTTCTTCGTCTGGGCAGCTTTTTCTTCTTTCTGATTCCCAGCCATCTCCCTTGCTCATAAATTCCTTCCTCAAGGAAGTGTTCCTGGACTGCACTAATCAACCGCACTCACTCTTTGGGTCTGCATCCTTTGAGCACGCAGGCTGGGAAGTATCAACTCCCACTTAGACTTGGATTTCTAAGGGTTCTGAAGTGTTTTTCTCATGTGGGAGCTTGGCTCTCCTATTGGATTGCAATGACTCCAGCCATTGGAATAGAGTCAGGGGAGTACCAAGTGCTTTCATTGGCTCAATCATTGCTTCACATGAATAAACTTCTTAGGACAAAGAAAGAGGTGTATATGTTAATAGCTGAAATTGAGAGGCAAGTGAATTCCTAGTGAGTTTGGCCTGAATAGAGGCTGCCCAGAGATCACAAGCTGTGGCCTGGGCTTCTCCTATCACCAGTAACTCAGACACTTTGTTACTGAGTTATTAATGAATGTTGAAGGGTGCTGTCAGCATTGGGGTTGAGTCCAAGCTCTGCAGGCCACCTGGGTGGGATCACGGTCCTCGTTCCTGTCATGAAGGCCCTATTTCCTCTCCTGTCTTCCCTTCTACCATCACACTCTGTCTCATTTTCATTTTTCACTTCCAGGAAAGAAGAAATGCAAATTTAAAGCCCTTAAGAGCTTTTTTGGTAAGAAGAAGAGAAAAGAAGCTGAAGATACCCAGGAAGAAGAAATGCTAGAACTGAGCTCATCCAGCAGCAACATTAACATCTCTTCTCTGGAGCCTGCTCGAGAAAATCAACCAACTAAGGCCAGGTCAGCTCAGATGGGGTGGAGAGTGATGGGGAGACAGGAGAAGAGGCAGACAGTTGGATCTAGGTCACCTTTCGGCAGCCAAATCACCAGGGACACCAAGAGACCCCACCTGTGGGGGCCAGGCTTGCAGCCATTGCCAATGCAGTCATGTCTGGGGTAGGGAGTGGTGCTTTTCTCTCTGTGCATATGCATGTTTGTTGTCTGAGCTGCACAGCTCAGTGGGTTGGAGCATGGCAAATGCATACCCCACTTCCCAAGAGCACTGAGTAAGAGGGTGCAGATATTCAGGGAAGCCCTGCCTGTCACAACAAAAATAACTTGAGATGTGGGGCCTGCAGCCAATGAGGACCTGAAGGCCTGTTTGATTTGGTAAGAAGGGCCTACATCATTCAGGAGGCTTGGTCTGGTTTGCTTGCCTGGCTCTCAGACTACAGATCTGGCCAAGATCTCATAACGAGTGATGAAAGCCTCATACAGTAAAGCTATCTAGCTGTGAGTGAGGTGGGTCATGAGCATGAAATCACCGTGTTGCTGTAAAAACACACACGCAAGCAAACAACCCAGATCCCTTTCTCCTTCCATCCCAGGAGACTAGGGGAAATGCTATAGTCACAGAGGGCATGGGGAAGACTGTTTCCAGCTACCACTGCCACCGCTATTCAGATATTCATTTGCAGCGCCCAAATTTCCACATCCTGTTGTGCGATCTGGACACCTAGGATCCCCAGCTGTCTCCCGATCAATCACATCTCCCCCTATGAAGTTCTACTTAGGACTGTTCTCCTGGACTTAAATACCAGACTTATCTGGACTCCTCACAGAGCTCACTGGTCCTGCTGCCCATTCCAACCAGGCAAAACCTTCATGAGGCAGTTAGCTGACATGTTATACTGTCCCCAATACCTCCCCCAATACGTTCTATAACATAATGGCCTCATAGTTATCATATACGGTTCCTTAAGAACAACCTTCATGAGTGCCTCCAGTGTGAGGAATTTCAGACAGTCTTGCTGGAAGTAGGGGAGACGGTTTTGAAAGAGGGGCTTATGTAGTACCTCACAAGTAACACTATTATAGCCCATCGCCTTGCAGTGTTCAGTAAGTCTAAGACTAGCCCTGCTAAAACCTGGAGGTCGGTCAGGGAGGGGCATTCAGGTTTACTATCTCTGCTAAAGTTCTACATTTCTCCCTCTTACTTGTTCCTTCCTTTCCAGAAGTGTGTGTACACGTGAACGAGAGAGAGAGAGAGAGAGAGAGAGAGAGAGAAGGTGGGGATTTAACTTACGGGGTCTGAAGATCACCCCTGATCTCAGTCTTTTGCTTAATGTGCTAGGGGAAGAAACCCTGGAAAATGTCACTCTGGAGAAGGGATATCAGGTTTCTTCATTCACTGAAGCAATCAATCATAACAAAACTTATGACCAGCCTTCCCCTGGCCTATACCATAGGGCCAGCATCTATTTCCAAGACTGTATTAAGCTGTATCTGATGGAATGGACAAATCCCGTTCCTTCATTTGATTTCTTAATGAGTGATGTTATAATAATATACTTCACTGCTCTTAAAGGCTGAGATTTTGTTTGCGATTTTTAATTTATTTTTTCTTTTCACCTCCAGGGAACAGATCAATGAGCACTAGATATGTTAAGTGGACAAGAGTTTTCATTTCTGACAAACTTGGCCACAATTGGTGCTAATTTAATCTTTTGATCAGGGAGGGCTTGGCACGATAGAGCCAATTCAACAGCTTCACTCTGGTTAATGCACAGCATGGAAATGAGAGACATTTCTAAGCCCACTCACAGCCCAAGATTTCCTCTCAGTTTTTTTGCACAAAGCAGAGGAGGCAAGGTAGTCACAGATGCTACACTGGTTCTGAACCTCTGAGCCAGTAGATCATAGAGCAGCAGTGAATGAAAGCATGTTATGTGTGCATACTGAGCATATGCGTGTATATAGAGATGTCTGGAAACATTACTCTCTCAATGCTGAGTCAATCATATATATGCCCATTAAGTGTTTATCTAGAGAGTCACAGTAATTTTCTGCTGGACTGCTGTTTTATAAAGCAGACTACGTTGCTTCCAACACCAGGGCCACCCGGATAGCAGAGTTTTATAGGGAAAAGGTAAATAGGAGTTTAGTAAAAAGTAGCAGACATCTCTCTCCTCTCCTCTCTTGTTGGCCCACAAGCCATCTTAGAGTGGGTTCTGTTTTGATCCCCATAACATGAGATTGTCCTTATAGTGTGTCATTATCAAATATATCCATATGAAGGCCCCACTGGCTCATAAAGACAGGGCGGGTGCTAGCTCCACAATGCCCAAGCTGCTACTCTAGTTACCATTTAAAGATATTTTTTAAGTGCCAACATATATGTATTGTTTTGTAATAAAGACAATAAGTACAAAAAGGGCATTTAAACATTTTAAAGTTTATTTTATCTGTTTTTAAACATGGCTATCCCTCCCTAAAAGAAATCCTGTACCAATTAACAGTTTTCCCCCTAAATAACCACTAATCTACTTTTTGTCTCTATAAATTTGTTTATTCTGGATATTTCATGTAAGTAGAATCATACAAAGGTTGTTTCACTTAGCATGTTTTAACTTAGCATATTTTCAAGAGTCATTCATGTTGTAGCATGTATCAGCTTACTTGCTTTTTTAATTCTTTGCTTCCTTTATTTTTTTGTGTCTAATCTCATCTCTTATATACATATACACATTTTTTCCTACCTAACAGGAATAACTTTGTTATTTAAAATTTTTATGTTTCTATATAACAGCTTTCTTGAAATGTCATTCACATACTACAAAGTTCTACCTTTTAGAGTGTGCAGCTATCACTATTACCCAATTTTAGGACATTTCATCACCCTAAAAAGAAACCCTGCACCCAGTAGCAGTAATTTTCCATTCCCCTCTCCTCTTTCAAACCACTGATCTGCTTTCTGCCTCTATGGATTTGCCTATTGTGAACATTTCACATGAATGGAATTATACAATATGTGGCTATTTTTGACTGGCTTCCCTTCACTTAGTATGTTTTCAAGGGTCATTCATTTAAAATCATGCATCAAGAACTTGATTTCTTTCTTTGGTAGCAGTTTTATTGAGATATAATTCATATATTATACAATTAAACCACTTAAATGGTAAAATTCAACATTTTTTTTTGTAAATCCACAGAGTTGTACAATCATCATCATCATAATAAATTTTAGAAATTTTCCATCACCTCAAAAATAAACTCCTGTACCCATTGACCAGTCCTCCCTATTCAACCTTCCCCCGACGCCCGCCAGGCCCTAGAAATCATTAATCTGCTTTCTGTCTCTGTGGAGTTACCTATTCTGGACATTTCACATGAATGGAATGTGATCTTTTCTTACTGACTTCTTGTACTCAGTATAATGTTTTTAAGGTTCATTAATGTTGTAGCATGTATCAGAATTTCATCCTTTTTGCTACTGAATAGTAGTCCGTTGCATGACTATACCACATTTTATCCATTCATCAGTTAATGGATATTTGAGTTGTTCCACCTTTTGGATATTGTGAATAATACTGCTATGAACATTTGTGTACAAGTTTTGGGGCAGATATGTGTTTTTATTTCTCTGGGATATATGCCTAGGAGTGGAATTGTTGAGTCAAATGGTTGTTATATATTTAACCTTTTGAGGCACTGCTAGACTGTTTTCCAAAGTGGCTGGACCATTTTAACACCAGCAATATATGGGGGCACCACCAGCACTGTATGGGTGTTCCAATTTCTCCACAGCCTTGCCAATGCTTGTTATTATCTGAACTGAATTTTCTATTCTAGCCATTCTACTGGGTGTGAAATGGCATCTCATTATGGTGTTGATTTGTTTTTCCCTGCCAGCTGGTGATGTTGAGGATCTTTTCATGTACTTGTTGGCCTTTTGTATATCTTTGGAAAAGATATTTGTATATCTTTCTTGTTTGGAGAAATGTCTATTCATATCATTTTTTTCATTTTCTAATTGGGTTATTTAAATTTTTATTATTGAATTCCTTAAGAATTCAATAAAAAGAATTCCTATTAGTAAGAAAGAGTTCTTTATATGTTTCAGATCCAAGACTCTTATCAGATATATAATTTGCAAATATATTCTTCCATTATGTGGCTCATCTTTTCATTTTCTTGCTAGTAACCTTTGATGCACGAACATTTTTAATTTTGATGAAATCTATTTGTATTAGTCCGTTCTCACTGCTATAAAGAACTACTTGAGACTGGGTAATTTATAAAGAAAAAAGGTTTAATTGACTCACAGTTCAATCATGGCAGAGGGTAAAGGGGAAGCAAGGCACATCTTACATGGTGGCAGTAGAGACAGAGTGCAAGCAGGGAACTGCCACACACTTTCAAGCCATTAGCTCTCATGATAACTCACTCACCATCACGAGAACAGCATGGGGGAAACTGCCCCCATGATCCAATCACCTTCCACCAAGTCCCTCCCTCAACATGTGGGGATTACAATTTGACATGAAATTTGGGTGGGGACACAGAGCCAAACCATGTCACTATTTATCTATTTTTTTTTCTTTTGTTACTTGAGCTTTTGGTGTCATATCTAAAAATCTGTTGCCAAATCCAAGATCACAAAGATTTAATCCTATGTTTTTTCTAAGAATGTTATAGTTTTAGCTCTCATATTTAGGCCTTTAATCCATTTTGAGTTAATTTTTAAAATTACACTTTAAGTTCTGGGATACATGTGCAGAACGTGCAGGTTTGTTACATAGGTATACATGTGCCATGGTGGTTTGCTGTACACATGAACCCATCATCTACATTAGGTATTTCTCCTAATGCTATCCTAGCCCTCCCCTAGCCCTCCACTCCCCAACAGGCCCCAGTGTATGATGTACCCCTCCCTGTGTCCATGTGTTCTCATTGTTCAGCTCCCACTTATGAGTGACAACATGCAGTGTTTGGTTTTCTATTCCTGTGTTAGTCTGCTGAGAATGATGGTTTCCAGCTTCATCCATGTCCCTGCAAAAGACACGAGCTCATTCTTGTTTATGACTGCATAGTATTCCATGGTGTATATGTGCCACATTTTCTCTATCCAGTCTATCATTGATAAGCACTTGGGTTGGTTCCAAGTCTTTGCTATTGTGAATAGTGCTGCAATAAACATACATGTGCATGTGTCTTTATAGTATTTTTATATATGGTGTGAGATAAAGGTCCAACTTAATTCTTTTGCATGTGGATACCCAGTTGCTCCAGCACCATATGTTGAAGAGACTATTCTTTTTTCATTGAATAGTCTTGGTACCCTTGCTGAAAATGAACCATAGACGTATAGGTCCATTTCTGAACTCTCAACTCTATTCCATTGATCTATATGTCTATCTTTCTGCTAGTGCTACACTGTCTTGATTACTGTAGTTTTACAGTAAGCTTTGAAATTGAAGTATAAGTTATCCAACTGTGTTCCTCTTGTTCAAGATTATTTTGGCTATTTGTGGTCCCTTGCATTTCACTATGAATTTTAAGATCAATTTTCCGGAAAAAAAAAAAGCCAGCAGGAATTTCAATAGGAATTGCACTGAATCTGTAGATCACTTTGTGAAGTACTGCCATCTTAATAAGTTTAAGTCTTCCAATGAATAAACATGGGATTCCCTTTCATTTATTCAGGCCTTTGGCATTTTTCTCATCAGTGTCTTACAGTTTTCAGATTATGAGTTTTGCACATCTTTTGTTAAATTTACTTTCATGTTTTTATTCTTTTGTTGCTATTGTAAATGGAAGTGTTTTCTTAATTTCATTTTCAAGTTGTTCATTGCAAGTGTATAGAAATACAATTTTTGTATATCATTCTTGTATCCTTCAACTTAGATGAATTCGTTTATTAGTTCTAGTCATTTTTAGTGTGTTCATTAAGAGTTTTATATACACAATTACGTCATCCGTGAATAGAGATAATTTCACTTCTTCCTTTCCATTCTGGATGGCATTAATTTCACTTTCTTACCTAATTTCCCTGTCTATAATCTCCCATACACTGTTGAATAGAAATGATAAAAGCAGTCATCCTTGTCTTGTTCCTGATCTTAGGGGGAATACATCCAGCCTTTCACCATGATATTAGCCGTGATTTGTCACAGATATCTTCTATCAAGATTGAGTGCATTTATCATGGAAGGGTGCTGAATTTTATGAATTTTTTTTCTGCATCTATTGAAATGGTCATATAGTTTTTGTTTCTATTCTATTGATATAGTGTTTGGCATTCACTGCTTTTCACACATTAAGCCGATCATTCCTTGTAAATCCTACTTTGTCGTGGTATATAATTCTTTTTATATGCTGTTGGATTCAGTTCGTGAGTGTTTTATTGAGGATTTTTGCATCTATGTTCATAAGAGATATTGGTCTGTAGTTTGCTCTTCCTGTGATGTCTTTGGTTGAAATTTTTAAAAGGTAAAATACATTACCACACTCCAAAAAGGAGTCTTTCATGTCTTTAGCCTTTCATTTGTTTTTCTCTTTCTTCTGATTTTTCTTAACATGTAATTATCATCAACCTGGTACCATTCCCAATCAGAAGGTATTTTCATCTGGATTTAGTAAGCTTGGGGAAGGGAGGGGCAGGTGGTACATAGGATGACTTTGAAAATAGGATAGATATATTGTAGAGCTCTTGTGTGAAAGAGGAAAGGATCTGATGAATGAAAGCCTCCTGTATCTGAGAAGATCTTTGATATATTTTTAAATCAAACCAAAAACACTAGAGAAAAATTTGGGTGTGAAAGATCTTTTATAATTCTCACTGTAATAATAGCAAAACTCATGGCCTTTCCTCCCATTCCCCAGAATTGCCACTATTGAATTATATACTTTAAATGGGCAAAATGTATGATATATAAACCATATCTCAGTAAGACTGTTATGTAAAAAGGATATATGCTCATAATGTAAAAAGTAAAATTATACAGAAGGACATGAAGTGGAAAATGAACATTTCCTTCCTGTCCCTAATGTGTCATTCCTCAGAGGGAACCACCTCTAACAATTTGTGGATATCCTTCTAGATTTTTTTCTTTGAATATGAACTATATATGTGTGTATATATTAAATGGGGCCATACCATTATTTTTTTTCACTTACTATCTCATGAGCCGCTTTCTATGTCAGCACATATGCATCCCTGCTCTCCTTCTGAGGTATCTATGGTAGGGCCATATTATGAACATACATTTGTCTTCAGTTCCCATGGCCCTTGGGTTGCTTTTACAAGACCTTTCCTTTCTGTCCAGGGTCAAGAGCAGCATGGGGAGCAAAGCCCTATCCCATGATAGCATCTTCATGTTGGGTCCTGAGCCTGAAAGATCAGCAAGTAAAATGTGTCCTTCTATGGATCCCCAGAGAGGCAGACCTCGGCAGGTAATAGTGGACTCGAGCATCAGTGTCTAATTGAACTACTTCTCTTCTGTTCCCTACTCTAACCCTGCCAAAATTAAAAGGAGTGGAAACTTGATTCTGCTTCTCAGCTGATCCTGCCCCCACAGGGCTGTTGTAAGCCTTGAGTGACAGAATGTATAAATATATAATGTGTCTAATACCTGGCACACAGTGTTGATTAGTGTTGCCATATTCACTTCTTTTTTATTTTATTTTATTTTAATTTTTTGAAACAGATCTCACCCTGTCACCTAGGCTGGAGTGCAATGGCATGATCACGGCTCACTGCAGCCTCAACTTCCCAGGCTCAGGTGATCCTCGCACCTCAGCTTCCCGAGTAGTTGGGACTACAGGCCTGTAACACCTGGATGATTTTTTGGTACTTTTTGTGGAGACAGGGTTTCACCATGTTGCCCAGGCTGGTCTCAAACTCCTGGGCCCAAGCAACCCTCCCGCCTTGGCCTCCCAAAGTGCTGGGATTACACGCGTGAGCCACTGTGCCTGGCCTATATTCACTTATCTTAACATACCATAAGAATAATTATTTTGACAGCAACATTCCACTGTTTATATGCTGGCATACCAATCCTCAAGTTTTTCTCTCTCTCTTACACAGAGATCCCGTATTTCCAGAACTCTGCCTAAACCTAGGAGTAGTGTGCCTGGAGTTGTGTCTGGAGCCATGTTAGGAGCTGTGCTTCAAAATGTGCCTACAAGTGCATTCTGGGTTACTGGCCCCAAGATCACTGAGGTAACAAAGTGAAATTGTTCCGAGCATGGGCAGCTCAGTCAGAAATCAGAAATGGACAGATCTATGCTTGAATTCTTACTCTGTTGCTTACTGGCTGTGTGACCCCTGGACTAGTTGATTAACTTCTCTGAGCCTTCTTTTCCTCATCTACAGTGGTTATAATATTAACATCTACCTCAAAGGGTTGCTTGTGAGGATTGAATGAAGACTCAGAGAAGTTAAAGATAGTGCTCAAGCTCACCCTGGTAGTAAGTTGTAGACTTGGAAATCTGACCCAGGTGTATTAAACTCAAACCCCATGATCTTTCCATTACCCCAAGATACTCAACTTCTTTATACCTGCCTGGAGAGAAAGAAGGGTACACCTTAGTGCCTACATAATGTAGCATCTTGCCTCCAGCTAATCCTAGATTTATGGTAGGGATCCATTACTCAGTCAGACTATATCTGTGATCCAGAAATGCTTCAGGGAGAGCTGGAGATATTGTCAAGGAGACAACCCTTAACAGCTGTCTTCCCCATCTCAGCCTGAGGGTGGAATCATGCCCAAGGGTCCCTGTGTAAGTGGGAAAGCCACACAAGGAGGAGACCCTTCTCCACTGGAGATATGATTATTTTCCATTTGGCAAAAGGTAAGTGGGGCTTATTTCTGACATGCCTGCTAAGACCCCACATCTCTCACTGTGGTTTCCTTTCTTCTGGATCCATTAGCTATACAGGAGAAAACACTGAGATAGACACTAATAGTGTTGACCCTAAAGTTGTTAAGCAGCCCCTAGGGTCAGAAGACTGTTGCCCTCTTGTACTACAGCAGGAAAAGTCACTTCCGTGAACTATTCAATCTTCAGTTTTAAACATCAACACAAGCTTTCACTCACCGCCATAGTTACACTCCCTGCAGCCTCACGACCATGACCAAGTGGCACAGGGTTCTCACATTCAGAAAGAGGAAACTGGTTGCTTGGACTCCTCCATGTTTCCCCTCCTCTCTTAGTCCCAGCAACAGAGAGACTCATATAGCAGAGATATTCCATTTTTTAAAAAAAAATTATTGTTTTGTGAAAGTTAAAGGAAAATATTCTAGGGGCATTACTTCTCACAAGGAAGTGGTTGGGGAAGGCCACAATAGCCTAAAGGCAAGCTTTCTTAAATGTTTGGTTTGGGCCTACACCTCACACTTTTGGCCTGATCCCTTAGTTGATACCCTGGAAAACAAGGTTGAAGACAGCATAGGGTATTAATAGGACCTAAGTAATCAACAACCAACCTGACCTTTGCATGGGAAACTTCCCTTAAGTACCAAAATGACAACTCCAAATGGAAGGATGGTTGATAGCATTAAGTCAAGGGTCCTGACACCCAGTGCTACATAAAAGCTGGGGCAAGCATGGAATTGGCCAGTGGGATCAATTCCCTTGAAGGGGCAGGATTCTAATGGATTAAGTGACATTCAGAACAACTAGGAGATTGTGAAAGAAGAAATCCAGGTATACAGTTATGTCAGAAATACTGACACTGAACCAGTTTTATTTCCTGCCAGATTTTTACCTGATGTCCCATCTGAAGTGTTAGGAATGTGGATGCCTACATTACTCTCCAAGACATTTTCTGTTCCCTTTATTTGAGTACAAATAGTTAAAAAGATATAATGGCAGATTATTAGCATCTTGCTGTTGTTGAATCAAATTGAATTTAGTCATTTAAGAAACTGAGACTTCAAAACAATTTTTCTTACTGCTCACGGTCTTGACTGTCCCTCAGCCCTTCCTAAGGAAGCAGGCACACCATCTATTCCGGTTGTTGCCTTTAAACATCTTGAACTTGGCCTTCAGTATGGGCTCTCCCTTTTCTGGCCCTTATAATTAGGAGACACCAGTTCACAGTGATCAAGAACAAGGGTTATCAAGCTGGACAGACCTTTCAAATGCTTGCTCTGCCACTGGGAGAATTAGGGGAAGTTACATCATCTCTCAAACTTCGTTTTCCCCATCCGTAAAACGGAGCCCACAATAGCAAATGCTTTAAAGAATTGTTGTGAGGCTTCAGTGAGATGTATCTATGGAGAGCATTCCCTGCTTAGCACACCGTAAGCCCTTAGTAAAAGTTAGTTGTCGTCATTATTGTAGTTATTATTAATAAAGCTGGGCTTGGAGTTGGTTGATATGGCCTCTCCCCAAGAGCTCCCAATGGGGCCTGGTAGTAATAAGGAAGCACTGGAGAACCTGGCCAGGAGCACCCCAGGAGCATAACCTTGGTAAGCTTCACTGTGGCCCCTTCTTTGGCTATAGTGTCTGAAGGCTGTCTGCCCTGAGCTGAGCAGAGTCTACAACAGAAGCAAGCATGTCAGCTTCATGACAGCAATAATTTGTTTTGTTTATTGTTGTAGGCCCATTTCCTGGAATGGGATGTAATGCATTGTAGATGCTTAGCCAGTGTTTGTTAAACATAAAAAGCAGGGATTCTGACCCACATCAAGAGGACCATGGCAGGGACCACTGCCTCAAATTCAAGTGTACCATTTTCTTCAAAATGGAATCAACTAAACTGTCTGCTGAATCCCAAGGAAAATCCAAATGATCAATTTTTGTCCCTTTAGGAAACCATTCCATAGATTTTCTTTAAAATCTATAGATTTTAAAATTCTGTAGATTTTCTTTAAAATCCCAGAAAATCATTCTTGACAGGATTAAGATAAGCAACGAACACAGTCAAGATTCAATCCAAATAATTCATGGAATAATAGGAGCAAAGAGTGTAGTTTGGATGCCAATTCCAGGTCATAACTCAAAGATTCGCCTCTACGAGAACTGGACTTCCAAAGTCAAATTCAGACATTAAAAGAAAGATCAGAACTAAATAAGATTTGTATTTAACATCAGTAAGGAGATAACATCAGGATTCTGATTTTTCACGAACAAGCAATTTGAAGTTTCTGTCTTTGGGGATTGGCAAAAGTGTGCAGCACCCCAGAGGGGAAATCAAGGCTAGTAGTCTTTGGTTTGAGTAGGTATTAGAAATGAAGACGGGAAGGTAGGAAATTCTTCCCTGGGCTTATTTTTTTCACTTTGGATTCTTAGTTCTTCAACCAACTTTGGATTCCTTTCTCTTATTAAAGAATAAGAGAAAACCACTAATTTGAGGGAGAGCACACAGGTTTTAACTTGTTCCTTCTCTTCTCCCTCTTGACAGAACCCACCATCACGCCAACGCCGACTCAGCATCATCCCACCTGTTATCCAACCTGACATAATTTCTAAGAACTTGGTAGAAATCTCTCTCGATGATGAGTCACCCAAGAATCCACAAAAGAAGGCTTTACCACATGAGAGTTTGACAGTCACTCAGGTGAGTATATATTAAGGGGCAGGTTGAGGGGGCTCACAGATCAGAGGCATAATTTCTTCTTGTGTCATCTATTCTCCCGCTGGAGCTCAACACTAGGGGGATGATTGGGGAAGGAGCTGACATTCTTGGCTTTTGATTTGCATGGTGGTTTTCCATCCAATTCTACAAACCAAATAATCACCTTTTTAATGTATAAGCAAGAGAAGATAGTATTTTGGAAAAAATAAGTTTGCAGATGTTTTGAGTTATTTCAGGAAGATAAAAATAGAGACTTTTACTGAAGCATAGTCTCTACACTTTGAAATCCAGAAAATATCAGAGGTTAGGGTATATAATATTGTTTGACACATATCCATGTGAAAAATCAGCTGACACATGACAGGGTGATGTGTCTATTTCATACGTCTAGGTTTGTCAACCAGATAATATCAATCAGCGTATAGTAGTGCGTGCCCGTATCAACACTTCCATTCTCAAACTAATGTGTGTTTAATTGAATTGGTTGTTGGTGAACTTGAAAGGGCTCTGAGAGTGAAGTAGAGTTTAGAATGATTAACCTTTGGAAATAAAAAGTAAACAGAAACCTAATTTTTAAGGAAGAGAATTGACCAGTCAGAACAAAACTCTATTTTGATGTTAAAAGATCCTATGAAGTGAAGCAGCCCTCAGTTAGATATGTCAACAAAGAAACAAATTAGGTTAAAACCAAAGTTAAAGCACAGACTGGTAGTAGGTGGATGGATGCTTATTGTTTTATGAATCTGAGTTATGACTACAAGTATTTTCTGCAGGATGCCACTAAATCAGATTAATTGGGATGCATAATCTGAATTAGTGGAAGAATTGAATTAGATAACATTTTTTATTGTGGTAAAATACAGATCACATAAAATTTATCATTTTAACCATTTTAAAGTATACAATTCAGTGACAGTACATACATTCACAATGTGATGCAATCATCACCACTATCAAGGTCCAGAACCTGTTTGGTTCTCCCAAATGCAAGCCCAGTTCCTATTGAGCAGTCATTCACCATTCGTATCTCCCACCAGCCCCTGACAACAAGTATTCTGCTTTCTATCTCTGTACTTGCCTACTCTGGATATTTCATGTAAATGGAATCATACAATATGTGGCTTTTGTGTTAACTTCTTCCACTTAGCATAATGTGTTTGAGGTTCATCCATGTCATGACATTTATCAGTACTTCATTTCTATTTATGATTAAATAATATTTCATTATATGGATGTACCACATTTTGTTTAGCCATTCATCCATTGATAGACACTTGTGTCCTATCTACCTTTTGGTTATTGTGTATAGTGCTATTATGAACATTCGTGTACGAATTTTTGTTTGAACACCTGTTTTCAATTCTTTTGGGTATATACCTGGAGTGGAATTGCTGGGTTATATGGTAATTCTATGTTTAATCAAACTGTTTTCCCCAACAGCAGTACCGCTTTACATTACACTTGTTAGGTTTCTGTTTTAAAAAAATTATAGTCATGCTAGTGGGTGTGAAATAGTATCTCATTGTGGTTTGGATTTGCATTTCTCTAGTAAATAATGATGTTAAGTATCTTTTCATGTGCTTGTTAGCCATTTGTGTATCTTCTTTGGAGAAATATCGATTTCTCCTTTGCCCATTTATTAATTGGGTTATTTATCTTTTTGTTGTTGAGTTTGTAAACCAGAAAAGTACCTAAGACAAATTGTCAGAAACAATTTGAAAATTTTATTTTGCCATGGTTAAGGATGCGCACCTGGGAGGCAGGTCTGTACCTTTCTCTAAAGATGATTTTGAGGACTTCAGTGTTTAAAGGGGAAAAGGTGGATATTGGGGAAAGATGAACACAATTTTAAAAGGTGTGGGAAGATAAGAGACAAATAGTTGCGTTTGAGTCTTTGATCAGTCTTTCACTGAATACACAATTTACATATGAGAGGGGATAGAGAAATGGTCACTTATGCCTTCATCTTCCTCAGTGAATCTGCATTTTTACATCAGAAGAAGCAATCAAATATGCATTTGTCTCAGGTGAGCAGAGGGATGAGTTTGAGTTTTGTCCTTTGTTCCACACCTGTGAAGATAAGCTGTCAATATACCTTGTCAGGGTAAAATTCTTAAAGCTTAAAGTTTGGGCTGATTAAATTCCCTGGCCTCAGTCACATTGCAGGGTAAATGCTGGTAGTTAACATTTGGGGGTTAAGTTATTCCACTGAATTGGCTAATAAGGAGTTAATTTAGAGTGCTACAAGTTTGCCTCTTTTTGTAATGTCTCATGCTTTACCTGGATGACTTACACCATAATTCCACAGCATTGTATACAAATAAGTCTCCGAAGCACAGAGCCATCTTTTTTTTTAAGCAATCCTCTGCTGCGTATGCCTGTAGTCTCAGATACTCAGGAGACTGAGGCAGGAAGATCACTTGAGGTTAGGAACTTGAGGCTGTAGTGCGCTATGATCATGCCTGTGTGTAGTCACCATACTTCCACCTGGGCAATGTAGTGAGACTCTGTCTCTAAAATAAAATAAAATTTTAGTTTTAAAATCCTCTAATACATCAAAGGAGAACATAATGCTCCTTCCCCCATGATTGCACAAAAATTTACAACTTTCAAAGTGATTTTCCATATATAGTTACATTCAATTCTCTCAGTAACTCTGTAAAGCAGATAGGAAAGACTCTCATTGTAGATGAAAAAAAATTGAGGTTCAGAGAGGTGAAGTGACTTGGCCAAGGCCACAGAGCCAATCAAAGATAGAGCTGGGGCTTGATCCCAGGACTCCTGACCAAATCCATAGCACTTTTCACTGAACTATGTGGCCTCTAGCAGTCATCTAACTTTGTATAACCAATGCCCAGCAATAGCAACAACAGCTAACATTTATCAAGACTTTCTTAAGTAACGGGCACTATGTTAAGCACTTTCCTTGTATAATTTTATTTAATCTTTACAACAACAAACCAAAGTATGTATTACGATTATTCCCATTTTACAGACATGAAAACTGAGGCTCAAAAGGGCTAGGGAACCTGCTCAAGGTCAGACAGCCAATAAATTGTAGAGCTAGGATGTCATATTCAGGTCTATTTGGTTTCAAAGTCCATGTTCTTATTCTCTATACTAGTTAAGAAATTGAAGAGATTGTGACAGAAGGGGGAGGGGGCTGCAGGGAATATCAGAAATTCCACCTTCAAGAACTTTCAAGTTGGCAAAAATATTGACCACAACAACTTTAAGTAACACAGATTTTGAATGAAGCAGCAGCTGTGCAGGAACTCTCAGGAATGGGCACTTTGCCACACCCAGGGAGTTAAAATCCCTACAGTCATTACTGGCTCTCACACTCTGTGCCAGTACCTCTTGGTGCAGAAGTTTCCCACCAAGAACCACTTTTCCCACCAAGAATTGCTTATTCTTGTGGAGATAGACACATACTTTTAGTTTTGACTCACATAGAACCCAACTCTCCAACATCCCAGTGTCAGTTTCAGAATGTATTTTTTCCCAGAGTGACAGCTTTATGGGCCAAATGCTTGACGAAATCTGGGCCGAAACAGCCACCTGGTAATCCCCTTATTTAAGACATTACAATCAGAGCTTTCCTTTGTCTCAAGAAGACAGTCAACCTTCTCTCTGTCCCTGCTCGAAAGGGGAAAATCCTAGCATCATACAACAGAAAAATAAATCATTAAAAAGTACTACCAAAATGTGCATTATTGACTAAACTCCTTTGCACTGGGTCTAGAAACTTGACAGAAGGGAAAAAAGAAGTGAAAATGTGTTATTATTTTCCAAAGAGAAGCCCTTATCCCAGCTAACAGCAAAGAAATGTCCAGCTCTCTAACAACCAGTGCTGAAGAATCCTTTCCCCTGGCCTGAGGTCCAACCCAGGTTCCTTATCTAAGATGATTCTGGATTAGTAGGTACCAGGCCGGGCACGTCTCCCAGATGTTGAGGCACGAGAAGCCCATTTAATTCCAGATATTAATCTGAAGATGTCTGTGCTAAACTCTCTCTAAAACACAGGAGAAGAAATGAAAACATCTCAGCCATACTTAATAATACGCATAATGGACCAAATGTTCTCCCTTATAAGTGGGAGCTAAATAATGTGTACACAGTGGACATAGAGTGTGGAAAATAAACATTGGAGATTTGGAAGGGTGGGAGCGAGGGAGGAGGGTGAGGGATGATAAATTGCTTAATGGGCACAATGTATATTATTTGGGTGATGGTTACAGTAAAAGTAAAAGCTCAGACTTCACCTCTATGCGACATATCCATGTAACAAACTACGCTTCTACCCCTTACATTTATACAAACGAAAAAATAATATGCAGATTGGGTTCGGACAGGGTATGTCGGCTGTCAGAGTGCATGGAAGGAGAAGTAGGGTTGGAGGGGAGTGAGGATGGAAAAGTAGAGAAAGGTGTCCCACTTTCTCCACTTGTTTTTCTTTCAGAATTCTGCCAGGAAGGGATTCTATTTGCTTTTCTTGGGTAACTCATAAAATCCTGTAGTTGGCTCCTGTGGTAACTTTTTTTTTTTTAAAGACAGTCTCGCTCTGTCGCCCAGGCTGGAATGCAGTGGCGCAATCTCAGCTCACTGCAACCTCCGCCTCCCGGGTTCAAGCAATTCTCCTGCTTTGGCCCCCCCGAGTAGCTGGGACTACAGGTGTGCACCACCATGCCTGGCTATTTGTGTGTGTGTGTGTGTATTTTTAGTAGAGACGGGGTTTCACTGTGTTAGCCAGGATGGTGTCCATCTCCTGACCTCGTGATCTGCCCTCCTAGGCCTCCCAATGTGTTAGGATTACAGGAATGAGCCACCGTGTGGTAACTTTTCTAGGTTGCTGCTAACCAATAGGACTGAGGCAAAGAGGACTTAAGAAGGCCTAAGAAGAAGCCACACTTCCCAAAAGGAGTCCATATATTTCTGACTCCTGTTCTAAGGCAACTGACAGAATTATTCCTGAACTTGCT